TGCAGGCAGAATATACGTTCCCTATCTCCAATACACATTGTGCAAAACTGAAAGAGAAAAGGGACAGAGAATGCATGGGCACCCTTTTAGGGGGCAGAAGTAAATTGACTTTCTGGGCCTTACTCACACTATGCCCATTTGTTTTTCTTTTATAGACTAGGATCACGAGAATCTTCAACAGAAGAAATGCCAAGAGGGCTAGAATCTCACCAGATGGTGGCATTAATAATGGAACAAACTAGAACTGATGACAGAGACATCAAGTCTGAAAATGACACAAAGAATATAAATACTGCGAGATGGCTCCCCCCTCCCAAATTCTGCCTCTTGCCAAATAGCTTCATTTCTTCCACATTATCCGTGGTAAAATACGGAACACAGAATCACGCGTCACGTCCAAAAATGCTCTGCTAGTGACATTGTAGGGTTCACTCCTTTTTGTCATACATGACTTTAAATAATAAATTGATGGTTATTAAAATCACAGGACATTTAATAGGAGCTTATTTTACTTGCATCACCACTTTGATTCAAAAAAGGATTTAAGGTGAGAAGGAAAAAGGGTAAACAAAGGCCAGAGCTTTACCTACAATCAGAACTGAAGTAGATCTCTAGGAATGAATGCCGTGTAGCTCCCCTTGCCCCACCTGGGTGACTCTAATGCATGTGGCATCTCTCCTCTCCCGCCACCATCTAACCCACGCACTCCCCTGTGGTTGGGCAGAGGTAAAGCTCAGAATTTAGTTAGCAGATGGCAAGCTGCACACGTGTAGATGCACAGTCTTGAATCTGGAGACCGAGATCCAGTTGTACATCTTTGAATTGTTCGCCATCAGCATTGTAACTCCCCTGACCCACATACAACTTTCCTGCCCACAAAAGTCCCAACTTCCCCCCGACTCCACGCTCCCCACCCCCGAAGACCCACAGACATACAGGAAAGGTCTCCCAAGTCCGTGTACTCTTCAACACAGACACTGAAAATGACCGTCACTAAAACTGTTAGGATCCCCTAACAATACCTACCCTGTTCTGGAAGCTGTGTGGTCGTGCAGTGCCATTGCCAAGGTCCTCTACTTGCCATGTCTGAATTACTGCCAGAAGGATGACCAGGAGTTCAGGAAAGGGGAGTCATTATTTTAGGATTCAAACAAAAATCAGAAGGAATTGGAATTCTCAAAATGAAACGTAGCTGAGGTGCAAAGTAATAAAGGGTCGAATGATGCAAAAGAAAGGGTTCCAAAAGCTTGGGTGCGTGCGTGCACACACACGTGTGTGTGTAGCATATGTAGTATATAGAATATAAATGTATAAATGATTCCAAAAAGAAATCATCAGCATGAAAATTCAAAGCAATCATATGTAAAATATACAAAAAGCATGACAACTAGCAAGAACTGTTGGTTACTAGGCCTTATTATGTGTCAGATTCTGCTTTAAATGCTGTCCATACAGTGTCTTATTTCATTTTAATCCTCATAACAACCCTGTAAAATAGATACTATTCTTATTTTGCAGATAAGGAAACTAAAGCTTGGTGAGGTTAAGTCACTTGCTCAGGGTTCACGCCAAGAGTAGCAAATTGAGGAATGAAATCAGGGCCTGCCTGCCTCCCAGGTGAGGTCTGACCATTACCTTGTGCTGCCTCCCAGTGGCAAGAGCTGGTAATTACCAAACATGAATTCTAGCTGTTCCTCCTTCATTTCTCTAAAACTGTTTCTACCTATGAGATGAGATGGGTTGGGCAAAAATGATCTCCAAAGTCCATTTTTTATCCAGCATTCTTCATTGCACCAGATTTGCAAAAATATGTCCACGTATCATATCGATTCTTAAGTATCCTGACTTCATGACCAAATTGATGCCAATTTATTCAGCCCGGAATTTATAAATTACACATTATGACTAATTTGTGTCTCCTTTGCATTCTCGGCACTGGGAACAGTTGTCTTTCACACCAGAGGGTCTCAGAAACGACTAGCACATCCTCAGGGACCTATGTAAGACCATTAAGCCACCTCCACACTTGTCTTTTTTGGAAAAAGGAAAGAAAAACTGGGGAAAAAAATGGAGCTAATGGAGCTAGAATTGAAGTTAAAGATAATTTATTGAGTTCACTCTGTTTTATAAATGATTAAATTAGGCCCCGAGACGACATTTTTGTTATATCGATATTGGTATTACCAGTATTATTATTACTATTGTCATCATTTTCATCTTCTAAGGGTCCGACTGGCTGAGAATTCTTCCTTCTTTATTCACTGTGAAATACCCCAGGAGAAGAAGTGTCAGAGGCTCTTGCCTTTTTTTTCTGAGCTGGAGATTTAGGAACCACAGCCCTCTGCCCTCTTTTAGTCCCCACTCCCCCCCCCACACACACACACAACTCATTCAGGAATTCCACCCTTAATCTTTAGATTATGGACAATTATTTTCCTTAGTGTATACAATTTTGAGAAAAAATTACTTACAAAAATTTGGGGTGGGGGGACTTCCCTGGTGGCGCAGTGGTTAAGAATCCACCTGCCAATGCACGGGTCACAGGTTCGAGCCCTGGTCCAGGACGATCACACATGCCGCGGAGCAACTAAGCCCCTGCACCACAACTACTGAGCCTGCACTCTAGAGCCCATGAGCCACAACTACTGAGCCCGTGTGACGCAAAAAAAAAAAAAAAAAAAAGAATAATACATCTTGACCAAATGGGGGTTATTCCAGAAATAAAGGACTAGTTTAACATATGAAAGCCAATGTAATTAATGACATTAACAAAATAAATGAGAAAAAACAATAAATGAGAAAAATGAGCAAAATTCAAATAAACCTACAAACAGACTATTGATAATTAAGAAATTTATCAAGGGTCCTGGATCACTATACAAAAATCAGTTGTATTTCTATATGAGAGTGACAAACAAGCAGAAAATAAAATTTAGAATTACCGTTTACCATAGCATCAAAACATAACATATCTCTAAATAATCTAATGAAAGATGTATAAAATGTCTGCACTGAAAACTGCAAAGCATTAATGGGAATTTTTTTAATAGACTTAAGTAAATAGAAGGGTGTACCCTAATCATTGACTGGAAAATTCAATGTTGTTAAGATATCAGTTCTCCGAAAATTGATTTATAAATTCAGGGCAATTCCAATAAAATCCTAAACGTTTTTCTTTTTTGTTGGGGAGCTGGGTAGAAATGGATAAGCTGATTCTAAGATTTATATGGAAGTGCAAAGGACCTAAAATGCCCAAGGAAATACTGAAGAAGTAGAACAAAGCTAGTGCATTTAATCCACTAGATATAAAACATACTAAAAAACCAAAGATATTAAGACAATGCAGTACTGTTACTAGAATACACAAAGAGACCAATATAATAGAAATAAGAGTTCAGAACAGATGCCCAAGTCTCCTGCATCTCATTTGTGAGGGAAAAACTCCACTGCAATTCAGTGGGAAAAGGTACGTGGGGCTGGGTCAGTTGGACAGTTGTACAGAAAAAACAAACAAACCTGGACCCCCTACCTTATACCAACCTAAATATAAAAGTTGAGGCAACTTATAAAAGAAATATAGGAGAATAATACAGGAGAACATTGTCATAAGAGTAGGCAAATATTTCTTAAACATGCAACAAAAACTACTAATAAAAAATAAAATATAATTAAATTGGACATCATTAACAGAACATGCATTCATGAAACAACACCACAAGACAGTGAAAAAGAAAACCACAGAATGAGGGTTGATATGTGCAATACATGCTTTAACAACAGACTCATATTCAGAATCTATAAAGAACTCCTACAAATTAATAAGGAGACACAGACAAGCCAATTAAATGATAGGCAAAACACTTGAACTTTACCATAGAAGAATATTAAAGTGGCCAAAATTAAGCACAAAAGTTGCTCAATATCATCAGTAAGAAGAATTACAAGTTAAAGGTACAATGAGATAACACTTTCCATTCAGTAGAATGGCTAAGACAGAAAGACTGAAAACACTGGGTGTTTGATAGTAATGTGGTATAACTAAAACACTTACAGTGTTTCTAATAGTGTCAATGTGTATAACCACTTTGGAAAAATGCTTGGTGGTACTTTGCAAAACTAAACATGCATATACTCTGCAACCCAGCAATTCCTCTTCTAGGTATATACCTAATAGAAATGAGTGCATATGTCCTATAAAATACACATAAAACAACATTCATAGCAACTTTATGCATAATAACTAAAGGCTGGAAACAACAAATTTTCATCAATATTACAATGAAAGTAAGTCTTGTGTCCATACAATAGAGCCCTAGAGAAATGAAAGATAACTACTACTACACGCAACAATATTAATGAATCCTGAGGAAAAAATATTGAGTAACAGAGGCAGAAACAAAAGAATACATAATGTATTACTCCATTTATATAGAATGCAAAACAAATAAGACCTATCCAGGTCAGAATAATGGTTACTTCTAAGGGTAATGTTTCTGATTGGAAAGAATAATTAAATAAGCAATTGGAGATATTAAATAACATCTCAGAAAACAGATAAACAATAAGACGAAAATAAGAACTGACCAAATTCGGTTAAGAATTTGAGATAAAAGACAAAACATCTCAGAAATAAAGATTAAATTACTAGGTGCCTAAGGGAGAATAGGATGACCAAAAAAATGTCATAAGGGACATCACAAATAGAAATCACAAGTAGGAATGAGAAAAGCCAAGAAAACGGAAGCAGAGAGACAAGAATGCAAATCAAATCTAACACAAATATAAGTAGAATACCCGAAGAAGAAAAATGAAATACAAGAACTAGAATACGTAAAACTATAATTTAAGAAAGCTTTCCTGAAAAATAGAAGTACCGAATCTACATATTAAAAAGGTATAGCACATATATGAAAACAGACTCCAAGTCATAACCAAAGAAATTATTACAATTTATAGAAAAAATCTTCTGAACCTCCAGGGAAAATGACCAAATCACTTACCAAAGGAAGAAAATCAAGTTGGCATCAGGTTTCTTGACAGTAACATTTACTGCAGGAATATAATGGAGAAACATCTACAATAAAACAAGAAAAGAAAGTGTGAAATGAGGCTTTTATATCCAAGCAACCTTCCTTCACATATCAAAGCTACAGAAAAATAGTTTTGAACATGCAAAAACTCAGGGGATATGACCCATGAGCTCCTTTTGAGGAAGCTCATACTTGGAAAAACTGGTAAAAGGAAATTAGTAGTGAGCATTAAATATATTTAACTGAAGATCTAAGACTAAAACAAAGGTGAGAATAAGGGTGAAAGAACAGTATGTAAACATTAAATCACCTGACAAAGTAAAAACAGCACAACTTAAAAAGGAGAAAAAAAGAAAGGAAAAAGTATGTTTAGTTCCTTGATTTACTTGTAAATAAGTGTTGGGAAACAGATTATATCATTTCAAGCTAAAAAAATAAAATAACAAGAGCCAAATAGCAGAAGGAGGGAGAGAGGGGAGAAAGGATGGAAAGGAGGGGAGGGGAAGGAGAGGAGAACTGAGGGGAGGGGACAGGGGAGACAAGGAAGAAGGGGAGGAAGGAATGAAGGAAGGAAAAAAACATGAAATGAATAAAAATGGGTTTCTATTGGGGTGGAGGGAAGTGATGTGAGAGAGAGAGATAGAAACAATATTTTTCTGATGACACATTTATATAGTTTTCACTTTTGACCACATAAGTTTACATATTTTAAAGAATAAAATTAATTTTTAAAACTCTAAAATCAATAGTAAACTGATACTAGTGAACCTAACTAGATATGTAATTAGTAACATAACACTGCAAGGAAAAAAAATAGTTACATGACTTTAAAACAGTACTTTAACCATATCTCTTTAATAGGCTATAAGGACAAGAACTACAAAGAAATATTCACATTTATTTAGTGACTTTATTATAATAAGTAATAATAGAATTTTGAAATTTTTAATGTATATTGTAGCATAAGTCAAATAAGCAATCTTGTTAGGAAGAAAAGATCTTCAGAGCAGGAGAAAAGAGTTTGAAATTAATATTAACTAAAACCTTATAATGTTGATTTAATTTGATGACATCAATATAATTACTTTGAAATATGTAAACATTTTCATCTTTATGCTTTGAAAGTGCCCAGGAGAAATGATGCCCTGGCCATCAGAATATTGTTTTGAAATGCCATTGGTTATTAAAGGTTCCTTGAAGAAATAGCTGATTCCAGGTCTCTGGTAAAATAGTACAGGTAATTTTGAGACATCTCGTTCTGCCAGAAAGCAAGAAAATGAAGATAATGTAATTACATAAAAAGACACAGGGAAGTCAAAAGGGTTCCTACTGGCCAAAGTTTGAACAACTTAAGCATCAAAAAGCATAATAAAAGGGCAACATGAGAAATCCGGTGGTGATGGATATGTTCTATATTTTACTATGCTATTGTACTATAGTTTTGCAAGATGTTACTACAGTATTGGGGGAACTGTGTAAAGGGTACATGGATTCTGTCTGTATTATTTCTTACAACAGCACATGAATCTATAATGATCTCAAAATTTAAATTTTTATTTAAAAAAGAATAAAAAAAATAAGAATAGAGCAGAAATCAATGACAGTGAAAACAGGAAATCAACAGAGAAAAATCAGTAAAACCAAAATCTGATTCTTTGAAAAGATCAAGAAAATCAATCCCTCTAGGCAGGGTAACTAAGAAAAAATGGAGGAGTTCACAAATTAATATCAGAGATGAAAGAGGAGACATTACTACAGAACCCACGGACATAAAGGTAAGAAATGAACACAGTGAACAACTCTATGCCACAAATGTGATAACCCAGATGAAATAGAGTATTCCTTGAAAGATACAGTCTGTCAAAATTCTCACAAGAAGAACAGATAACATGTATAGGCATATATATATAAAATAAATTGCTTCAAGAATTAATAACCTTCCAAAACAGAAAACACCCAGCCCAGATGGGTTTACTGGTGAATTCTATCAAACACTGACGGAAGAAATTATGCTAATTCTCTACAATCTTTCAGAGAATAGAAGCAGATGGAACAATTCCTAACTCATTATATGAGGCCACCTTTATCCTAATACCAAACACAGACAAAGACATTATAAGGAAGGAAAACTGCAAACCAATATTTCTCATGAACACAAATGCAAATATCCTCCAAAAAATTAGCAAATTGAGTCCAACAACATCTAAAAAGAATTACACACAATGACCAAGTGGGATTTATCCCAGGTGTGCAAGGCTTGTTCACCATTCAAAAATCAATTAATATAATCTATCAATACACTAAAAAAGAAAAATCACATGGTTATATCAATAAGTGCAGAAAAAGCATTTAACAAAATCTAACACCCATTTATGATAAAAACTCTCAGTAAACTAGGAACAGAGGGACGCTTTCTCAACTTGATAAAGAATAGCCAAAAAAATCCCACAGCAAACATCATAGTTAATAATGAGAAACTCAAAATGTTCCCACTAAGATCAGGAACAAGCCAAGGATATATCCTCTACTTTTCAATGTCATACTGGAAGTCCTAGCTCATGCAGTAAAATAAGAAAAGGTAATAAAAGGTATACAGACTGGGAAGGAAGAAATAAAACTGTCCTATTTCTCAGATGACATGATCATCTATGTAGAATATTTGAAAGGATTAGCCAAAAAAAAATCTCCTGGAAATAATAAATGATTATAGCAAGACATCAGGATACACTTTAATATACAAAAGTCATTCACTTTCTTATATATCATCAATGAACAAGTAGAATTTGAAATTAAAAACAATACCATTTACATTAGCACCCACCAAAATTAAATACTCAGGTATAAATCTAACAAAATATGCATAAGATCTATATGAGGAAAACTACAAAACTGACGAATGAAATAAAAGATCTAAATAAATGGAGGGATGTTCCATATTTATAGATAGGAAGACTCAATATTGTCAAGGTATCAGTTTATCTCAACTTGATCTATAGATTTAATGCAATCTCATTCAAAATCCCAGCAAGTTATTTTGCATATATCAACAATCAATTCTAAAGTTTACATAGAGAGGCAAAAGATCTAGAATAGACAACAAAATATTAAAGAAGAATAAAGTTGGAGGACTGAAACTACCTGACTTCAACACTTATTATAAAGCTACAGTAGGGCTTCCCTGGTGGCGCAGTGGTTGAGAGTCCGCCTGCCGATGCAGGGGACACAGGTTCGTGAACCGGGTCGGGAAGATCCCACATGCCGCGGAGTGGCTAGGCCCATGAGCCATGGCTGCTGAGCCTGCACGTCTGGAGCCTGTGCTCTGCAACGGGAGAGGCCACAACAGTGAGAGGCCCATGTACCGAAAAAAAAAAAAAAAGCTACAGTGATCAAAACAGTGTAGTATTCACAAAGCAAAAACCTAGACTAGATACACAAATGATAAAGAGAAAGGAATCTAAGCACACTACTACAGAAAATCAACCAATCACAAAGGAAGAGAGCAAAGAAAGAAGAAAGGAAAAAGGAATTACAGTCAGAAAAATTAACAAAATGGAAATAGTTAAGTCCATACCTAATAATAATTACTTTAAATATAAATGTACTAAATTCTCCAATTAAAATATATACAGTGGCTGAATGGATAAAAGCAAACAAACAAACAGAAAATCCAGACCAAACTATTTGCTGTCTACAGGAGACACAGTTCAGCTTTAAGTACACACAGAGATTGAAAGTAAAGACATGGAAAAATATATTCCATGCCAATGGAAATGAAAGAAAGCAAGGGTAGCTATACTCATAAAAGACAAAATAAACTTTAAGCCAAAGACTGTAAAAAGATACAAAGAAAATCATTATATAATGATATCAAGAGGATATGACATTTGCAAATATTTATGCACCCAATGTAGGGTCACTTAAACATACAAAGCAAATATTAATGGACCTGAAGGGAGAACCAATCACACTCTTTGGTATTTGCCAAAAAGAGCTGAAAATTTATGTCCATACAAAAACACACACATGGATGTTTATAGCAGCTCAGTTCATAATTGCCAAAAGTGGTAAGCAATGAAGAGGGCCTTCTCTAGATGAATGGATAAACTGTGGTATATCCAGACAATGGAATATTATTTAGCACTGAAAAGAAACCCGCTATCAACTCATGAAAGGACAGGGAGGAACCTTATATGCCTAATACTATGTGAAAGGAGCCAGTCTGAAAAGCCTGGATGATTCCAATTATATAACATTCTGGAAAAGGCAAAGCTATGTAAGCAGTAAAAAGATCAATGGTTGCCAAGAGTTTGGGGGAGGTTGGAAGGAGGAATGAATAGGTGAGGCACAGAGGATTTTTAGGGCACTGAAAACACTCTTTGATACCATAATGATGAATACATGTCATGATACATTTGTCCAAACCCATAAAATGTGCAACACCAAGAGTGATCAGTAACATGAACTATGGACTTTGGGCGATTATGACATGTCACTGTAGGTTCATTAATTGTAGCAGATGTACCACACTGGTGGGGGATGATAATGGGGGGGCTGTGCGTATGGAGTTCAGAGAGTATGTTAATCCTTGAACAACACAGGTTTGAACTGCACGGGTCCACTTATATGCAGATTTTTTTCAATAAATAGGAACTGCAGTACTACACGATCTGCAATCGGTTGAATCCTTGGATGTGGAACTGCCTATACAGAGTGCTGACTATAAAGTTATACGTATATTTTTGATTGCCTGGGGCTCGGCACCCAAACCCCTGCATTGTTCAAGGGTCAGCCAGCTATGGGAAATCTCTGTACTTTATTGGTCTCTGTATGTTTACCCTCTCAATTTTGCTGTGAACCTAAAATTTCTCTAAAAAAACATAAAGTCTTAGTGAAACTGATCAGGACCCTGTGGGGCTCCTGGGCACAAAAGTCTTTCCATATCCCCTGCACAAGTCCTTCCATGTCCCCTGTTTCTTATTTGTATGAAGTAGGCTTCCTTCAGCCTCCGTGACCTTCCCTAATTTCCAAAGGGCAGGTTCAAATAGTTGTCAATCAGAGTAGTGAGGGGTTGAGGAGACAAGGGAGGAGCAGTCAAGAAACAAGAGTGCAGCCTTGGGGCAGGGTCCTGGTTCCCCTCAAGGGATACTTAACACTACCTCAAGGATGCCTTTGGGACAGGGTCCTGGTTCCTCCTCAAGGGATACCTAACACCACCTCAAGGATACCTAACACCATCTTTGAGCTCTTCTGCAGAACTAAACCCCCCACCAAATGGAAGATGTTACCTACTTAATGAAGCATTCTTCATTCCAGAGAGAAGGTCACAGAAGCCCATCACAAAACCACCTGAAGCCAGGTGACCTCTGGATTGAAGGAATGCAGGCCTTGCAAGCACCCTGATCCTTATCAGCAGCCCTGCTCCTGGACTATAATACTCCCCACAAACCCCCCTGGCTGGGGACACACTGTTTTGAGGGCATTAGCCCGCCTTTGCCTGGAAAAGCAATAAAGTTATTCCTTTCTACTTCATCCAAACTCTGTCTCCGAGATTCAATTTGGCGCCGGCATACAGAGGCCAATTTTCGGTATCATTAGTAAAAAATAAAATAAAATGAAATAAATTATTGTAACAAAAAAGAAGTGTAATTGATTTGGGCACATTTAAATATGTAATAATTCATGAGTCCAATATGGTACTCACAAAATAGAATCTCCCTCCAAAAATTTCATTGCTGTTACTGAAGGTGACTATTATACCAATCCCATACTCTGAAAACCATTAATTAGAGAAAAGCAATTAAGGATACCCTGACATTCAAGAAGAAACTATATTTCAGAGCAACAAAATGGCCCCAGCTCATAGGGAAAGCTTTTCGGTACCCTTATAGAAGAATGATACCTAATAAGTGTAAAGGAAATGGTAGAAGTGGGAAAATCACCATTTTGTCACTCTGAACGAAATAACTGATTCAAGGTTATAATGATTAATGCATGCTAAAATCATTAGGTGAAAGGACAATGGGGAACTGAATATTCACATAGTGCAAAAGTATTATTTCATAGTTAATTTACTAGTCCCAAGGGGAAAAACATCACTTTACAATGGAAAGTTCTGGCTGTCACCACTTTATTCAAAGGGACAATACTTAACATTACTAACAGTGGAACAACCAGATATGATATGACCCCTGGTGTAATGCACATGAAGAATACAGTATCACCTATAAAATATTTAATCCAGCTTTTAGATCTCATTTCCAGTTTACAGGAAATAAAATTTACCACCAGAAACAATTAGACAAATCAAGAATATAGGATATCCTGTAAGACAACAGTCCTGGTATCTTCAAAAGCCAAAGTCATGAAAGAGTGAGATTATGTGTTAAATCAAAATAGAATTATGAAATATTAAAGCCAAAAGTAACGCCTAGTGTTTGACTGGATCCTCGTTAGACAGAACCCCTGACATCAGAATATGAACTGGGCATTAGATGATGTTCAGAATTATTGCTAATTTTCTTAGGTGTGCTCATGGAATCATGGTTGTGCAAAAAAATGTTCTTTCTGGAACTGAATACTGAGGGAGGTATAGGTAAAAACA